ATCACTTTAATGTATCTCTTTATAACTTTCCACAGAGGCTGAACTAGTTTGCAGTCCTACCAGCAGTGTATGAGTGTTCCTATCTCTCCACATCCATCGCAACATTTATTGTTTGATAAAGGCCGTTCTCACTGGAGTTAAGTGATATCTCATTGTGGTTTTGATTTGCATTTCCTTGATGATTAGAGATGTTGAGCATTTTTCATATGTTTGTTGGCCATTATTCTGCCTTCTTTTGAAAAGTTTTCTGCTCATGTCCTCAGCCCATTATAGAATTTTGACTAAAAATATTTAAATTTAGAATATCTTATTTGAAGACAATGAATTTCTTTTTATTTAATGTACTATGCTTTGTTTTTTAGGCTTGTTTCATTTTTAATTCTTCAGATTGTTTTTCTTCAACTAGTTCTTATTGAATGTGTAACTCCAATGCATTGCTGAGCTGTGATAATCTTGAGCCAAACACTATCTTTAGAATGTGTGAGACTGTAGGGAAATTGATATAAAGTAGTAGCGATTGTTTATTTCTAAGTAATTATCTTATCCATTTTATATTAATAAACTTGAATCTATACTTATATATATATATGTATGTGTGGTGAATATGTGTATATATTATATAGTTACTTATGAAACATCTTTGAATTAGGAATAATATTATTTTTATTTTACCCTCCAAAATTCTCTGTGAAAATAATAGGAAATAATTTGATGAAACAATATAAGAAAAGTTGAAAGAAAAACTGCAAATGCATGCATTGCTTTTTAAATTGATTTACTATACTTTTGTATCCTCATTGATTTTTAACAATGTGTTTAAAACACAATTCACATAAATTGTCAGTTATAGAATCAGGAACAGATTGTCATACTAAGATGACAACCTGCCATAATAATTTTTAAGAGGTGGTTGAGCTGTACTTTCCCTCTATACACTTAACAGCTCCCCTTTAGCTCCTCAAACCTGAAACACACATCATTTTTCTAAACGGTATTCACATTCTGCCACAACCAAGATAACCTCTTAGAAGAAATCCTTGTGTTCTAAGGCTATGTTTCCTTGTTTCAAAAGGAAATGATTAAAATAAATAAATAAAAATTTTTCATTATGCATATTCTTTCTCAAACCCTGATTGCTGTCAGTAATGGATTATTGTCAGCCTTATCAGTTTTATGTTTAGCTGTTGAATAACCCAACTTTCATGCTTATATATGGAGACTCCTGAATCAGACTTTCATATATTAGCTGATATAAAGTCTAAGCTATTGGCAGTACATCACATAGTTCATTTTTGACAGAGTTAGCATCTCTACAGTAATTTGGGTTTTTTTCTTTTTATTTTGTTAATTTTGTTATTTTTAAAAACAACTATGGACATATTTACTAAGTGCTCAACATCTCTAATCATCAGAGAAATGCAAATCAAAACCACAAGGGATATCATTAACTCCAGTGAGAATGGCCTTTATCAAAAGAACCCGAACACAAATGCTGGCGTGGATGCGGAGAGAGAGGAACACTCCTACACTGCTGGTGGGACTGCAAACTAGTTCAACCTCTATGGAAACATTTGGAGATATCTTAAAGTGATACAGTGAATCTGCCATTTGATCCAGCAATCTCATTACTGGGCATCTATCCAAATGATCCAATGACACTCTACAAAAAGACATGCACTCGAATGTTTATAGCAGCACAATTCATAATTGCAAGGCTGTGGAAGCAGCCCAAGTGCCCATCAATCCAAGAATGGATTAATAAAATGTGGTATATGTATACCATGGAGTACTATTCAGCTCTAAGAAACAACAGTGATATAGCACATCTTATGTTTTCCTGGTTAGAGCTGGAACCCATACTACTAAGTGAAGTTTCCCAAGAATGGAAAAACAAGAACATATACTCACCAGCAAACTGGTATTAACTGAGCAGCCACAAGTGGACATAGTACTACAGTAATAGGGTATTGGGCAGGGGGGCGGGGGGTGGGTGTATACATACATAATGAGTGAGATGTGCACCGTCTGGGGGATGGTCATGCTGGAGACTCAGACTTGTGGGTGGAGGGGGGAAAGGGCATTTATTGAAACCTTAAAATCTGTACCCCCATCATATGCCGCAATAAAAAAAAAATCTGTGAATAAGCAAAAAAAAAAAAAAACATTAGTAAGACATATAAAGTCCTTAAATATAATGAAATTGAAAAATAGATTTGTTTCATATAATATGTACATTTTAACATTAAATCTGACAGTGATCAATGTCTTCAGGTGTGAAGGATAGAGAAAAAATAAAATTATAGGGACAATATGCCAAATTTTTATTATTGTATATAATAAAGATGAGAGAATAAAGCAATAAAGAGATATAAAGTGATTCAATTCTTTTTGAAATTTATTTATATTATTAAATTTTCTTACATTTATTTTCAAGAACACAGTAACTAAATACAAGAGACTTGTAATGAGAAAAAGTAACACTATTCTCTTTTAAGGGTGAAGTGTTAGATTACCTTCCAGTTTCCAAGATCTCCTATGTCAATGAGTGTGTGCTTAATGCCAATGTTATTTAGAAATTTTCCTTCAAATGGCATGTATGGATGTTTATATTATTGTGATATATGTCTGTGTGTGTCGGGGGACAGTAGTTAAACTACATGACAGGATAAAATGAAGATTTAAATTACTTTAAATCATAAGTATTTCCTATGAGGCCATTAATCCTCCTTTTGCCATTATTCTGTTAATTATTTCTTTTTTACTATAATTATATAGAAACACATATCTACACTAGAAATCATTTCCCTGAACAAAATAAGTTGTATTTGGTATCATCACTGGGAGACAGCACGTAGGGAAACCCAAAGTTGGTGTGGTGTTAAGGAGAAAGCAATGTCTTGGCCATGAAAAACCACGTCGCTGTTGTTACGCACTCACAGTCAGTCTTGGTTACGACAAAGGATTTATTATTTAGAAAATATGATGGAGTTGTGATGAGACAAATTAAACACACACTCAATGCATCTAAGCTGGTATGTCTGTTTCCTTGTCTTTGATTATTGCCTAGAAGTTGGTGACTCCCACATTAATAGTCCTACATACTTCTAGGACATAGACTTGTACTGTCGTCACTCCTTGTATTAAATGATTCCATCAAACAGGTCAGCACGTTCAGAACTGTGCTCCCTTCCATGTACTTGGCCGTGGAGTTTTGTTACTCCATATCTCAGTGTTATCACTCATGCTAGAAACCTCAATGGCTTTTCCTTCCCTCCATCAATGTTCATTTTCAGCGTTTCATAGACTTGCTATTTCCAATCATCTTTCATAATATATGTTCTTCAGATAAATCTTACTGTCATTGCTGAGTTTATGCTTTTATGGTATCAATCTTGGCCTTGTTCTTGCTTCGTGCTGGGAGATTTTCCCTCATGCTGCCTCCTCTCTTAATCATTGTCCGTGGACTTACACAAGAACCTGATATGTTCTATTTCGACGTGAATGAGCAAAACTAGACAACATTCCTTACACTTGTGGAGCTCGCAAACCTTTTATTGGAAGGTTTCAAGTAATCAGGATAAATGAATAAATTAAAAAGCATGTTAGAAACTGATAACTACTGTGATAAAAAAAGAACCAGGTCGGAAGGAAAAATATATGGTTGGAAGAAGTAGAGGTATTCACTTTAGGTTATTTTAAGTAGACCTAAGAAGATGATATTTGAGCAAAGACTTAAAGGAAGTGAAGGTATAAGCTAGAAAATATTTTGAGGAAAAGCATCGCAGATACTGGAACAGCAAGTCAAAGACCTCAGGTAGGAGGATGCCTACTGTGTTCGAGATCCAGCAAAGAAGCCAGTGGGGTGGGGACTGAGTAAATAAGGAATAGAAGAGAGCAGATGAGTTTGGATAGGTACAGGGAGCTGGAAAATATGGCTTCTTTCTAGTTCTAGATAAGGTTCTAGCTTTTACCCCGAGTGAATGGGAAGTCATTACAGGGTTGTAAAAAGTGAAATAAGATGATCTGAATTGTGCTTTGCAAAGACCATTCTTGTTATTGAGAAGAGAATATCTTGTTACAAACCTAAAAATCATTACAATACTGCTCTGCTTTAAAATGTGTTTTTTTTTTTAATTATCTTCAGGATAAATTTTCAGTCTCATATAATCCACTAAACGTAGTCTCCTCATCTCCTGATACTATGCATCTCAAGACAGCCGTAGAAAAACCAGTCTACATATGAGATTCCATAATTAAGTATTAAACCTGTGCACTGCAAACCAATATTGTATAGAAACAGTAAAATAATACAGGTGGAAATGATCCGAGACTACTTTGTGTAGCTGTTTGAATACGAGCTTAATCTTGAGGATTGATAAAATCAACTAGTCAAAACTGAGAACGTTGGTCTCTCTAGTCCACGTGCTGTGGGGTGGAGGATGCTGTGCAGGCAGAGGCATAAATGCAGAATGTCTAGCTGGGCATGGAGGGAACCTCCCTGTTGGGGAGAAGTGGGAGAGATGGAAGCCAGAGAGTTTAGACTCTCAAACCGTTTTAAAAGAGGGAAACTTTGTAGATTTTTAAGTAGAAGGATAAAATAATAAAATCAGCTTTCAAGACAGTAGCCTGGCTGATGGCTGATTTTTTGATGAAAAACAAACGCAAACAATTTTTCTTCAACTTAAGAAATGTGCCCTTGTTATATCTTGGGTAAAATTAGTGACTTATATGAGTTATGCTTTTGACCAAAGAGGGTTTCTATTATCTTCCTAGGAGATTTATGCCTGACCAAAGGAAAGAAAATGGATTTGAAGACAAAGGGAGTTATTGTTCTCCTCTGTGCTTAGGTGTGTGTATTGCGGGTGTGTATCAGATCCTAGACCTTTCAGTGATATTTACCGTCAAACGAATGAATAATATTAGTGTGTGACAACTACATTGAACCAAAAGGACATTGTAAAGTTTGATTTATATAATCAAGTTGATGTTTTGTTCGTCAGGTAACAGAAACAAGGACGGGTCCTCTTGGCTGCAGTAACTATGACAACCTAGATTCTGTCAGTTCTGTTCTGGTTCAGAGTCCTGAGAATAAGATTCAGTTACAAGGTATGTAGGTAAAATTTCATTAATTCTTTATAAGCCTGGATGACAATTACCCAGTTGTGATTTCTGTTTTTTGAAAAATTAGCTATATATACAACACTGGCTGTAAAATCTCTTGTAAAAGGCTAATTTCCTAATTTTAACTGACACAAACATTCTAGATCAGATAAAAATATGAAAATTCATTTTTCTTCTCAAATTAGGTAATATATAGCAATTAAAAATTTATTCTGATAATATTTTTCTTACATCTAGTAATCATGTTGTTTCAATATGTAACAATTTCTTCATAGGCTTAGCTGAGCTTTGACTTTTTCTTATAAAAGTTGTACCTACTGTTGACATTTTAAATTTAAGTTAATGTAGCAGTCAAGGCTACATCTGTCTTCTGATAAATAGAAATGTACTTAGGAATATATTAACAAAATACATTTATATTATTTTCATTTTAAAGATAGATTCTATAATAATATTTTGCTATTTTTCCTATTATCATATTTTATTAGATAATTCAGTAGATAGTATTTTATTCATAAGAACATTTAACAAAGACACACGCTCCCCAAAATGGTTATAGGTGTGCATTTGCACACTTGCTCATTCACACAGTCAGGAACGGGATATAAATACACATATTTAAACATTACTAATTGAACAAGTTCAGAAAAGGCATTGTGATGATACTTATTTTCTAAATTAAGTTGACTGATCAAAGACGTAATTTAAGTTGTTATTCTCCAGTATACCTTTTTGAATTGCATAAGTTAGAATTATATTTACATTATACAGTTTTACATAAAAATGATTAAAAGTTCCAGAAATCATAACATCTTTTCTCAACTTTTCAATCTTGAAAAATGTAACAGAATTGAGTTGTTTAAATTTATGCTAAATAATAAATGAATGCCATTTATTTTGAATTATATAAAAATTACAAAGTATTTCAATATTTAATGCTTTAAATACTATTCAATTTATCAACATCAATTTTAGATGTTATTGTATTGAACTATTTTCTCTAATTTAAATATAATTGCTATCTACCAATGTTACTTGTAATTCTCTACTACCTACTCCTTTTTAATGTATGGATTAACTTTCCATCAGAACATTAACTTTGATCAAAAAGGATAACAAACATTTATACCAATGTATTTGTTTATTTCAATTGGTTTGTTATAAAATGATTTATTTATAAAATATATTGATTTTGTCTGTGGATTTCTGTGTTCAGTTTTCAAAATAATATTATATTATTATGAAAACACCCTCAGCCTTCTATCTCTCTTGAAAAAAAAACTAACACAAGGAACAAATGAAGCAACAATTTCCTTTTGTATAATTATTATTTTTACTCTTCTCAATTAATATGAGTAACTCAGAAAACTGCATCTCTACCTTTCACTTTTTTGTACTTTACAGGCTAGTATATTTAATTGCTATTGTAACCTTATTTTATGCACCTGTGGGTACAAAGCTCTTTTAAAAAAATATTAAAGAATCAATTTCAAGACTCTCAACATTCCACATACTCTTTCTTATATTTGATCTGTACCTGTAATCCAATATCATGTTGCTTCACCTTTTCAACTTCACCTTTCATAGTAGCCCTTCTTTACTCGACAAAAGAATGCAAACAACTCACCAATTCTGGATCAGTGTAACCATGGCACATTCCTTTGAAGGGTATAAAAAATCTAGGGTCACTGTATGGGGCAATTGCAAAAACTGGTGTAACTGAAGAATTTTTTATTAAGGTACCACAGTATATCCTTGTGCATTTCATAATTACTTAGATAGCTAGTTAGTTAGATATTTGGTTCTATGGATAAATATAGATATGGATGATATAGACTTCTGTTCCCTTTTATTGATTTATTGGAACATATTTTCTTACACATATAAGATGAAAAGTAGAAAAATAATTTATGCCAAATTGTCATTCTAGTCAAGAGAAAAACCTAATTAACAACAAAATACCTATCCATTAATTAAAGTCATGTGTTCTCAATAAGCTGATTAGATTTGCTTGTTTGTTCATTTACTTATTTATTTCAGGATATTATGGGAGTACAAACATTTTTGTTACATGTTATGAGTTTGCCACTCCCAAACTATGATTTGAGGTGTGCCTTTTCCCCCCTACAATGCTCACCAAGTCCATTAGTTGTGAGTTCACCCACCCCAACCCCCTAATCCCTGGAGAATATTATTACCATGCGTGCACCATAGCGTTGATCAGTTAGTGCCAATTTGATAGCAAGTACATATTGAGCCTATTCTTCTGTTTTTGTGATACCTCACTTCGGAGGATGGGGTCAACAAGATCTATCCAGGAAAATTTGTTTAAAATTTTTTTTTCGATACATATAACAAATTTAATTTTATTGAATTGTATATTATTAATGATTGTTATGATAATTTATGCCAGAAATATTTATCTATAATGTTCATTATCCAAAAATCATATGGTATACTTTATGCTATGATATTTTAAATTATTTATGTTTTCAGGAAATACATATATGCACACATATACTTTTCAAGTTATTTATTTTCTGTAGAAAAGAAATAAATATGGCCATGATTAAGGAAAGATGCTTATGAATAAATATATATTATTAATATATTTAAACAAAATATTGAGGGATAGTGGAATGAAATTATGACTTTAGGAGAGAATATATTTATATTTGTGTATATTTTCATACATAAGTACCTATAATTTATTGTATTTTATTCAAATATTACTTCTAAATGATGCATTAATTGCCAAATCACCAGGATTAGATTTCATTGGTACATATGTGAATATGATATAATACTTTTATTTGAAATCTGCATACTTATAATGCAACAGAATTTACCTACTTTGGGCCATTTAATGTGTGATGAAAATTTTAAATGGCAACTTAGTCATGTCTAAGTGAGTACTTAGTTTTTCAAAACTATTTTATATAGTTTTAATATATGAGCAAAACACTGCAGAACACTGAAGAACACAGATTCACTGGTTATTTAATTTAGCTGTTTGTCTTGCCATAGCATATGTTTATGTGATGAAATTTATTTTACAATTTTCCTGAGGTCTGTCATAAATTTTCTAAAATTATTTTATATTTATTCACCAAATATTGCTTCTTTCTTTTCTCTCCTCTCCTTTATCTCCTCTCACTTTGGGTTACAACTAAATATATTTTAGACCTGTGGTCCCCAACCCCTGGCGTCTGCTGCCAAGTCCCTCCTCCCTGGTCCCCTATACCCCCTCCACCCGCCACCATCCAAGGAAAAATTGTCTTCCATGAAACTTGTCCCTGGTGCCAATAAGATTGGGGACCACTGTTTTAGACCTTTCCATCATGTGATATATATATACATATATATATATACACACATATATATTATGTACATATATATATCTTTATGATATTTTCTGTATTTTATATACTTTTGCCTTTTTATTACTCTCTTTCAATATATTCTTCTGACATATTTCAGTTCATTCATTATCTCTTCAATGTCTGTCTTGTTAAATTCATCATTTACTTAATTACAATTTATGCATTTTTATTTGCAAAATGTCCATTTGATGATTATTATGATTTCTAGCTCTTTTCCAAAATTTTCTTTTTTTCATTTGATTTTTGATCACATGATTGAAAATAATTTGTAGTTTACTTTTGATATCATCTGAATTGTTCCTTGTCCTTTTGTAGGCTCATTATATTTTTATTGAATTCTGTTGTGTATGAAAGTTTGTAAAAATAATTTTAGATTATTAATGATGTATTTTCCTTCAGACAATATTTGCTTTTCTTCCAGTAGTGTCTTAATTCATTTTTAATTGAGCCATTTGAAACTAATCGTCAGATCTGGTGAAGGCTAGTGTTTTTTGTGTGTATGTTTATTTTTTTATTTTGTTTTGTTTTGTTTTCTTAACTCTGTGAGTGTGTAGCCCACTGGGTATCTATAAATCCTGAGGAATGCACCATGGCTGCCTTAGCATCTGTGTTTGCTTTGTTTTTGGACAGAACCCTGAGAGAAATAATATGGCCAATACTGGGCTCACTCCCTGGAGATTCTGTTCTTGTCCTGTTAGCCCCACACATTCTCATTTCCTTTTTGGCCTTCTGATTACTTCAGACAGATTATTTTAAATATCTTATCTCGTTTTTTCTAGTATTCCCGAGGAGAAATTTGGCTCAAAACACACTAGCCCTCTCACACTGGAAACATCCATGTTTTCTCTTTGGTTCTCAGCTTGCAGCATTTGCCCACCTCACATCCTGGCTTTGGCAGTAGATGCGGGGGCTCAGGACAGGCTTCCGTAAGCATGGTCTCAGCGCCAAGTCAGCCTGCTCTAATGATAGCCAAGTGTTTCTACTCTCGTTTCTGTGCCTCTCTTAAGAAATTCCTCTGGATGGCCCCAGCCACTCTGAGTTGCCTGCCAGCGAAGTCTAAGTTATCTCCCTAGGATCAATTATTACGTATGTGGGTGGCTGGTTATAAAATGACACTGTTCTAGTTGTCTGTCTACTCAAAGCTAAACCTCTTTTTCAGAAAATCTTTATTATTTTATTTAGTTTTACAGAATGCATGTATACTCCTTTTAGCAATGTATGTATGTATCACAAGCAGAAATGCTTGTATGTCTAAAACTGAACTCATCCTCTCTTGCCACCAATCATTCCTCCCCAAATTATTTCTCGGAGCCTTCCATATTTCAACAAAAGCACTATCGTCTTCAGTAAATATTTTATATTACACATGAAATAAAAAGTAATTAAAAAGTAAATATATAAATTCTAAGAGTACTTTTCTTGATCAATAAATATATGGGAGAGTATATAGATATAATTGTTATGATACTTGCAAAGTAAATTTTTCTCTAAATGTTTATCCATGATTTTTATTAAATCAATCTCATAGATAATAGTCAAGGGTCAAAATATTGATTTTTTTCTTTGAAATAAAACATGCAAAAATTAGATTAAATTTTGTGGTAAATAGCAATTTGGTGTTGCCAAAATTTCCGTTGGTTTTATGTTTATTTTTACCTAAAATAATTAGTTTGAATCTTCAACCTTTTGGATAAGTTTTCTAATGTAGCAAGAAATGCTAAAATTATAGCCATATTTTTCTTGAAATATAATCATAAATGTTATACCCCTTTGAGAACCACGAATATTAATTTTACAAACTTTTTGATATTTTTCTTAAGAGATAGGGACTTTACCAAACTTGCACGTAGAAAATAGTGAGCTATATCACAAGGGCTGTCTCTGTACATGACAAGGAAATGAACTGTGAAATAACTAAATCAGCCCATCTGCTCCCCTGTAGCCAGTCTTAGTATTCTCTCCTGAATAGCAGAATTACAGGAGCTATGTGTTGTTAATGGCATGAGAGAAACCTTATCAGCAACCTTAATAAGTAACAGCCTATTATATCTATGTTGATGTGGGCTGACAGTCTGAAAGGAAAGCAAAAATATTGAAAACCATGTGAAATCAACTGGTGGAAAATAAATTTGTGTGTGTATTTTCAAAGATATAGAAAGATAGGCTCTATCTATATTATGTAAAAAATAACAAAATATTCTTATCATGACACCAGAGACAACCAAATAAATTTAACAAACAAATCTGATAGTCTAAGGTATTAGTTATTTTCATGATTAATCAGCTCCTTTTCTGAAATCCCATATTCATGAAATCAGCATATGTTGAAAGAATTATAAATATTTGCAATATTGTAAATTTATATACATTTGTAATGAGAGTTTCAAAAATGCATAAATTTCTAATTTACTATCTTAAAATTTTTCTTTTCATTGAGTATTATAAATAAGTATTTTACTTTTTTCTTTAACAAAGGAAACTTGTCTGATTGATTGGTTTGTTCTTCAAGGGCTTCAAGTACTCCTTCCAGACTATCTTCAGGAACGTTTCGTACAAGCGGCTTTGAGCTACATCGCTTGCAATTCAGAGGGAGAATTTATCTGCAAGGACAATGACTGCTGGTGCCAGTGTGGTCCCAAATATCCAGAATGCAACTGCCCCTCCATGGACATTCAAGCCATGGAAGAGAATCTTCTTCGAATAACTGAAACCTGGAAAGCCTACAACAGTGACTTTGAGGAATCAGGTAAGACATATTTTAATAAAACATTTTTTAAACTTTGGCAAAAAAGAAAAAATGTGGCATAGGCCATATTACTCTTTTCGAAAATACTGTTACATGGTTGGAAGGGTCATTATTTTTTATTCTTCTTTCAAGTGGACATTTATATTGCTTTTATTACTGCTTACTCAGTATTTTGCTAAAAGAATAAATGATGTTGTGTATATTGTTATGTACTATTGGCATTACAGTCTAGCCTGCTCTTAAATCAGTGTATTAGGCATTTAATAAAGAAAGTTCTTGCCTTTCTCAATGCAAGAATTTATAATTTATTATCTGATACTCTGATGCCTCTCTGTACTTTTCTGGTGGCCCGGATGTTTCCCCTGTGAAGCAAAATGTAGATAGCATTTGTTATATACCTTGTTTACCTTAATATAATTCTCATGAGTGCTTACCTTCACTTAACTACCTATTTTTATAATTAGACTTAGATCAATTTTTATTTAATAGTGTTTTGTGAGTTTTTGTTTTGTTACTTCTTAAATTTGTAAGTGCATATATGTGTTTTCAAATATATGCTTATCGGCTGCATAACCTGTAATTGTCTACATTTTATAAAGCACTAAAACTTAAAGAACAAAAGTTTAAAGGATGCTTCAACATAAAAATACAAATATTGATAGGGGCCTATATAATAATTCATGATAAAACAGTAATTAAAATCCCAGCAGTGTAGTGAGTATAATTATGCAGAATTTAGTTAAAAGAGTTGGGCATGACTATTTTTCACACAGGCAAAGAGGTTTAACTGCTAAGCAGAGAGATTCTTATGCTTCAATGTTATAATTCTTCTGGTGATTCACTTAACCATACATACTTAAAAAGTAACAAAAGTGTTTTTCAGAGAAGAAAAAACAAAATTGATGGTTTCAACAAAATACTAGCATTTTGTTTGGAAGAACCACCAAATTATAGAGTGAAAAGTTAGGTAAATAGATTTAGGAAAAGTTAGTAGATGTTGGTTTTTCTTAAGATATATTTTAAGCAAAATAGTGTGTAAAAACTATTAAACTCAAAGATGCAGAGTTCAGGATGGTGGCTAGCAGAGGATGGGAGGTGGGGGGAACAGGGAGATGGTGGTCAGATGTTACAAAGTTTCAGTTAGATAACAGGAATGAGTTTTTGAAATCTATTGCACAGCATGTGGCCTATAGGTAATAAATATGCACTCAATGTTTAAAAATTGATAAAAGCATACACTTCAAATATTCTCACCATAAAATATAAGCATTTGAGATGACAGATATGTTAATTAGCTTCATTTAGTAATTTGACATTATATACATATATAATGAAATAAAATTGCACCTTATTAATATGTATAGTTATAATTTTTCAGTTTGTAATGAAATGAAAAAAGGCAATAAGGAAAGATCTCCCCGAGAAGAAAGAAGAGCTTAACAACAAAACACCCAAGGGTGGAAGATCCTAGAGGGAATAATGAATTGACACTGCAGTTCTACAGCTGCTTTTCTTTGGGTCACATTTATCAATATAAGGCAGATTTTAAGGCTGGGTGGGAATTGATGATTCTCCCCTGGAAAATGCTGCTACTTCAGGATAGAGAAAACATAAGAAAAATTTGTAGTCAAATAAGATTAAATTAATATAATTGGGGACTTAAGCAGTCTTACATGTATGGCCTGTCTCTACTTTGAAACATTTGCTTTATTTTTAATAAATGAACATGTGGCAGGTGGTTAAATAGTTAAACTAATAAAAATATAGACTGGTAGAATGGAATATTCTGCAGTTTTGCAAGCCTGTACTAGCAAATACTCATCAGATCCTTAATTAAAAGTGCTCAAGGACCACACCCTAAGAAGAGGGAGGAATCAGACATAGAATCCTACTAAAACCCAGCACTGGTATAACTTAAATCCTGATCCTAAGGAGTCAATTCTTAGTTCTTTTTAAATGATTGTTTATTAAATAATTTAATAGTGTTTATTACATAATTGAGAGGTGACCTCTTGAGGATGAAAGCATTCTCTAAAACCACGGTAGTTAATTTTATGTATCATGTGCATAAAACTCTAATTCATAACATATGTGAGCAGACAAGACCGTATGGACAATATCAGAGAAAAGCAACCAGACAGTGGAAGCAATATGATCTAGATATTGAAATGATCAGGAAAGATTTTCAGATAAATATCATTAATATGTTCAAAAAATGAAGGAAAGAAGAATAAAGTAGATGAAAGCATCAAAACTTTCGCCAGAGATTTGAAATCCATAAAACTAGATTAAAAGTGATTCTAGAGCATAAAAATACAATATCTGAAACCAATAACTCAAAGATTTATTTCAGTAGAAGTTTTGGCACAAGGTATGACAGAATTTGTGAACATGAAGATGGGTTAAAATATACAGCAATGGAAGCAATGAGGAAAGCAGTGACAAAATATTGAGTAGTAGTATAACAGCCATGTGAGGTATACATAAAGTTCTAACATATGTTTCATTCGAGGCACAGTAGTAGTGGAGGGAAAAATGGCACACACAGTATGAAAGGACTGGATACAACAGTTTTAACTGAAAGCATACAGATTTAACCTATAGATTAAAAATGTTTAGCAAACACAAAGCAAGATAGTTAGAAAGAAACCATGGATAGGCATAGAGAAAAAAATTCTTCAATATAACTAGTGAAAAAAAATTACTCCAATGGAGTAACAATAAACTTAATCATGACTTATAAAAAAAATAGCGCTTTATATCATTCAAGTGTTAAAAGTACATAATAATCTATCTAGAATTATATACAACTCCACAATATTTTGAAATGTGAAGGTGATATAAAGATGTGTTCAAACAAGGAATCCCAGATGAAAACATGGAAATGCAAAAAAGAAGATGAACACTAGACGTAGCAAATATGTAAATAAATATAAGTGAATATTAACTGTATAAAACAATAATTATAATGTAATGTGGAAATATATATTATATATAAAAGATTTTAATATGTGATAATAATTCAATAATGGGTAGTGAATTCTAAATATTCTAAGATACTGGCATATATTAAAAGATAAATTTTTTTTAGATTTAAATAAATTAGGAATTATATTATAATTTCTGTAATAGCCACCAAGTTATAGAAAAAATATTTAATTAAAATCAGAAAGAAAGAAATCAAATAAAAAACATTTGATGACTCAAAAGTAAAACCATAAAGAATAAAATGGGAAAAATCATCTGGGTCAATACATAAATGTAGTAAAGGGAAAAGATTGGGTTTTCTTTTAAATAAATTGCCTTGGATCAATTTCACAATATGATCCAGATATAATTTCACAATAAAATTATTACATTAAATATTCTACTTTTCTTAAATTAAATATTCTAAGTAAAATACTAAAACTGTAGGACTGGCTAAAATAATAATAATACTAATAATATACTATTTTTTGTTTAATAATTAATGTATGTAATACATAACAAAAATTTTTATATAATATATTAACATATTAATATATTTGTAATATATAATATATAAACCAAAATTATTTATAGTAATATAGTGATGTATAAAAATGACAATATAGAGAACATACAGAATTTATTCTAAGTTTAATTTATTTAAAAATATATATCAGATTAATTCATCACATTAATGAGAAAAAGAATATAATCATGTAAAGATCTCAACAAATTTAGAAAAATAACTAATACTCACACATACCCTGAAATAAAGTATTTGAGGAAACTAGGAATTCATGGAGCCTTTCATATATTAATGAAGATTTACTATTAAAATCTCACATATAATGGTGAAAATTTGACTTTCTCACTGAAATCAGAAATGAGACAATGATGTCCATTTTTATAACTTCTCTTGAAAATGTACTAATGTACTTAGTATACTCAGGTTCCTAGTCAGTGCAATTAGGTAAAGAAAAAAAAAAGAAATGCAAAGCATAATTATTGTAAGGAAATATAAAATGATCATATTCAGAGATAATGTAATTGTATACATGCAATATTCACAAGACAAACAACTTAGAATAATATCAATATAACACGTTTGCAGTGAAAAAGGTCAATATAGAAAATAATCTGTATGGCCACAGCTGTGTACTAGAAACAAAGGAAAACAAAATTTTAAAGATTTTGTTTGTGAGAGCAATACAAAAATATCAAATATCTTTAAGTTAATATAATGAAAAACTGTCCTTTATTAGATATAAAATTTCTTTATACTGAAAACCACGAATAATAATTGAGAAACCATAAGGAAGACCAGAATAAAGACGTTATCATGTTCATGGACTAAAAGACTTGGTATGTAACAGCAGCAAATCTTCCCCCAAAATCTATTAAGTGTAATTCCAATAAAATAAATCCTGTAGCTTATGTTCCATAAGAAATTGTCAAGCTAATTCTAGAATTTAAATAGGAACTCAATTTATCTAATATAGCCAAGAAAAAGTGGAAGAATATTTCATATTTAAAACTCTTAAAAACTTTAAGAAATTATGAATAAACATATGACAATAGAAGAGAGTCTCCAGATAAAGATCTGCATATATATAGTCTCCAGATCTATGTCTAAGCTGACACTGTACTGAGAAGCAAAAGAGCAGTATCAAGAAACAAACAAGCAAGCCAATAAATAATTATTTTGTCTTTGTGCATCTATGTGTAAAAAACACAAAAAAACTTTCTTGCTTCAAACCACACGAAAAAATCAGTCCCAGATTGATTGCTGATCTAAATATAAAAATATAACAACAATAAAAGCTTTAGAACAAAGCATATATTTTCCACTATGAGAAAATAAAGGAAAAAAAGAAAAGAAAAAGACAAATAAGCATATGATGTCAGTATACATCTACCAAAAAGACTAAAATGAAACCCAAAACATGGAAAAAAATGAGGGAAGAAATAACAAGTGAAGTAGAATTTGGAACAAATGAAGCTTTCACATCATAATAAGGAGTATGTAATTAAAA